TTTCCATGTGTCCCGACAATTTCTGTTTGCACATAAACGGCGTTTACTGTCCGCAGTTCAGCCTTGATTGCTTTCGAGTGGTCTCTCACCAAGGAATACTTTTTCGCCTTGAAAGCTTGTTCTTTCTTCTGGCGTAATCGTTCAAGTGTAGGGGACGAAAAACAATCTGACCGTATGTTTAAAGTTTCCCATGGGCAGCACGTATCATAACAGAACTTCAAATATTCAGTCAGGGTATCACAAAATATAGAGGGATCATTATGCACAAATAAAGAGAAATCTGTCTGATCTCATATATCTCTTAGTTTCGTGAGATTTTCGGGTTGGCATTGACACCGACGAAGACGACGATCACGATGCCGAGTGTAAAACTGGTGATTGGATCTACTGTAGATCGTGGGAGANCAGCGCAAGTTAAATAAATTCAGGTAGTTAATGAAACACAAATCAAGACAAGCCTGGAGTCTGGTCGGAAAGTTAACAACGTTTTGTAGTCCAAGGGTTGTCAAAAACGTGACATCAAACCTATTGAAGTCACCACACACGATGCAAACGGAGGAGTCTACGTAATTTAGTAAAGCGGCGGAGAAAATATCTGTGAACTCGTGAAACTGATCAGTGGAACAAGAAGGAGAGATGTAAATGTTACTAAAAATAATGCTCCGGTAGTTACTGAGATGATTTGGTCTACAGTTGTACAGTGAAGTATTGATAAAAATGGTAGAATACATAAAGACTCGGTTGCCTGATTTGTCCCAATCGTCATTTATGTATGTCATAACCCCAACGCCAGCTCTCCTGAAGCATTAAGACTCCGACCTTTGAATATTCACGTGTTCTTGTCCGATGTAAAACTTCTGCCATATTACCAAGCAGGGAGTGCACATATCCGCTGATGACTGCTGGAATACAGACGTCTGAAACTGAGTGTTTGCGTAGTGCGACCTACCATCCAGCTCGATGTTTCTGGGAAATGTTTTGAGATTTCCGTAACTTCTTCTTTATCTCTGTTACGAACCGATTTGCCCAAAGAAGGTAAAATCCAGTGACCGGGAAATTTGAAGTTGCTTCATGTAGGCAGCAGCGTACTTTACAGAATTCAGAATGATCATGGTCGCACAACGTTTCTGTGGCAACAAAGGAAGTGTATACCAGATAAAATCTAGTGAAGAGTGATAATGTGGTTCCGAGTCGGCTGATCATACGGACCTCGCGACCAATTTCAAAGGCCCCGCCATCTATCCGTCGGTCTAATTGAAATAGAAATGGTATAGTAACCCTTTTGGTTGCTGGATCTCCTTTGAACGCAAGTTCGGTGATCAAAGTCTTTTTCTCAGTTCAAGCTACATGCACCTGTTTAGTTGTGATGACCGAAATCAGCTATCAATTATTAATATTGTTATTTATCTGAGCAAGAGAACTGGAGATAAACGTATCCCCATCCCACCCCCACCTCCTTTAATACAATTATTTGACCTCGACTGTTTGACCCAAACACAACACTCTCCGGCTACTTTCTCACATAAATGTGATTGTATTGGCTTGAGAAGGAACTCACCGAAAACCTGTTCGCCTACGAGTTTTGTTCTGATTACGACGATGGGCTTATTTTATGGTATGTCTTTACATTGACGCATGCGAGATTGTTTTATCAGCTTCAATGATTTTCGGTATGGTTTGTCACATGTTGCCCACGATGTTAGATACAGAGTAAAAATATCATGATAATCAACCGAGCAATGGTGGTCTCGGTGAAACGTCACCAAATTATCGCTGCATAGGACCACCACCACCACCTGACTGTTTCCATTCCCTTTAATTGGTCACTTTCACCCTTCTTGAAAATAGTGTCACTTTATATTCAATAAAAGAAAGTAAAAGTGGACAGAATGAACACGAACCAATTCAGTACTGTACTGAGTCGCCAAGAGACAGACAAACTCTTTCTCACCTGTGGCCTTTTTTCGTCAGTGATCTGATGTGTACATACATCAATCGGTTCTTTGTCCCGCTAATACTGATTCGTTGCAAATTCTCATCCTTGTATTCGGAAAAAATGGCGGCAAACAAGCTTGTTTTAGATCACTTTTTTTCTTTCCGGTTGGAAACAGATTAGTCTATCGGAATGAGTATAACTGGATGACAGCGAACTTTATGCCATGGTGAGTTGAGTGATTACAAGATTTGTTCCGTTTTAGAAATAACCGATAGGTTGCATATGGATAAGCTGTCACCGCCGCCTCAGCTTCGTGATTCATGGTCCGTAATTGCGGTTGTTGTTATTGTTCACGATTTACGTTCGGAGTTTGTCCGGTCTTGACCCCGGTAAACGTAACAGATATGCATGCAGTTCGACGGGGTTTGTCTGTCCACTAATCTGGCTGACATTCAAAATCCCCCCACTCAATCAGGTCTGAACAGTTAGTGATTTTATTGTATCTTTACCATTGTACTTAAACATATTGAAGGTTCACTTGGATTCGGTACTCTCATTTGCACAAGTGTAACATTAGCAAAGTAAATGAAACGGTCTTCTCATACCTAATACACTGAACATTTACCAAATGGTTTACTGATTGTCAGTTACGTCCAAACCAATAAACAATAATACTCCGATTCAGGGAACGATATATATATATATATAAAAGTAGTATACGAGTGAATAGACGAGATCTCCCTGTAACTAGAAGACGGTTTCGCGGTTCTTGCTGCTCGCTACGCATATATGTGCGTCCGGTAATCTTTTGTCAGTTCATTCATATATTTGTACTCAGGAACTGCATTTGCATCGCAATAACCTCATTTGAAACACCGGGTACTTTTGAATGGATAGCTTTTTCGGAACCAGTCTACTTATAAATCAGTACTATGATTGAAACTTGTAGGTGGGTGAGATGCTACTAACCGCAACAAACGTAACTTGGGAGCTTTTATTGGATATTTTACAGTAAGTAGTATAAGTGGTATATATGCACAAATACGCTCCTTAAATTATCACGAACACTTTAAGTAAATATCGGTTCGATGTGGCAGATTCTGCGCTGGTGAGTTACATGCCAAGTTTTCACACCAAGAGTGCACTTCTCGTAAGTAAGTATAGTTCCAGAAGGTGGTGCCTGGTGGAGAAAATTTGTTTCTTGCAGATATCAATATTTTGGTATACATATTACAGCTGTATTATTTGAAACGTGTCATCGCAATTCCCGGCAGCACACCGGGTAGTGAATGCAGCAATCCGTAGTTATACTTTGCGCACACCAGTTCGTCCCGTGTGGTCTTGTTAATTTTTTATCATTGAAAGAAACCACTAACCGCTCTATTTTTCATACTACTTGCAAATATGAGTAGTACTCCACAGCAGTAAGTATTATACATTGTAACCTGGGACCTGATAAAGCACATACTCACACACACGCACACCCACCAAGCGATCGGTCTGAAGTTCAAAGCTCGGAGTGGACAGTGTTTATGTAATACTCATGAGTTCTATTCAGTTCTTCGTGAACCTAACGGGAGACTGGATAAACCATGGATTTAGGGTGTGGAAATGGAGTTCGACGGGTAGTGAGCTCAGATCGATATTAGTTACCTGTCCGCAACGATCGGTTATGTCCACCCTGCGTGATTCAGAATTCATGATGACTGGATTCACTGGCGCTGCTATGCATTTTCGTGTTAATTTTGACTTTATTTGCATTACTCCTATTTGACTTATGTGCTATTTGTATGTGTTAGATCAGATTTAAAATGTTGCCACAACCATTGTTCTCAGGCATTGCAGAAACCAATATTTCACGTTGCTATATTAGAAACAAGGAAAAAATGCCCGTTCATCTTATTACTGCTATAAAGTTGACTGTGAGTAAATGTGCGGGCCTTTTTTAACTTCGTGTACATCTTTTGAAGCAGCCTTGTGCTTTTTTTTGAATGGAAACCATCAATCACTTTCGTATCCAGGCAAATCAAATGCAAAGGTCTTTTTGACCCGTGAGGAGATCTGACTGAATAAACAGCATCTTGATAGAATAACATGTATTGGTCCCAAGAACCTGATATCAGCTAGTTTCGGACAGTCCTATTGTTTTGGAAGCTTGCTAGCATCCAGTTTCATCCTGACTAGTCAGGTCAGCTGAATTCATGCACACACTGCGAACCAATTTCCAAAGAGCCGATCAAAATGGTGCAATTTCATCTGTTCCAATAGAACCTTAAACATAAAATTTGATTTGCTGAATATGGGGAAGTTGACAGAGGGAGTCTTGAAACTGACCCCTAGGTCAGTGGACAATGAACAAGTAACCGTTGATTGATTGACTGACTGACTGACTGATTGATTAATTGATTCATTCATTTATTGATGGAAGCTTGTGATAGTTACGTGTGTTTCTGCATACAATGAAATACTCGCACAACTAATTTGTATTTAATTTGTATTCACATTTTTAATTCGCTTATCAGTCCAAATCTAAGTTCACATTATTCAAGCCCAAGTGTAACTTTACCAGACGGTGTGACTGAATATGATTGCTGAATAACTTGAAATTGTGCTGCACTTCCTCTCCGATTCCCTATTACATATTTTGTTCATCCTCTTTATTCGCTTCCAGATATTGTGGCGGCAAAATATGGCAAGAGTTGCCCCAATGCACCGGATGTGTTCTGGCGTATGGACACAGCTCACGAGGACGGTATTCAGCCGACCTACTTCGAAGGAATCAGACAAATTGATGTGGATGCGGATTCATGGGTTTATTACAATCGACCAAAACTGAGGTAATTTTCTCAACTCTCCATTGTTGTATGTTGGACGCATTCAGCAACTGGATTGAGATTGTGTACTGGATTTGATAAATACTAAATCCTTTGCCTCGGTTACGGGACATGACCACGCCAGCAGGTTTATCGTGATTATAATGATGATGATGATCTTTGGGACAAACTGCTCAAACGGGAAATGCTGTTCCACCTTCCACGTTCGTTGATTGGTTGATGCATTCCTCTTATCCGTTTGATCGACCGTTGACAGTGGAAGAAAACTAAGATTAACTATCGTTTTCTGAGCAAGAATATGATATTTTCAATGTGTTCTCCTCTTTCATTTCAATACTAGTAATGTCAATTTCGAAACGTGCGGTGATATGGAATGTGATGGCTTTAAAAAAGTTCTAGTCATGGACAAGGATGGATCACTATTTGGCAGTCCGACAACCATTGTTCCCCAATCGGAATGGCAATGGGATCAGGACCGAGCATACGGGATCGGTTCTAGTCGGGTACCGCGGCGAATGACCACCCTGCCAAACGGGACCACCTTCCCGTTGGACACCAAATGGCCCCTAAAAGGTGAACAATGATGATGATGTTTCTTCATTTATTTCCTGCTTGTGGTCATACCATCAGTGAGAGTGTTGTTCAGTCTGACCCCAATCCGAGTTCTGCCAATCGGATGGTAACATGAACAAAAATGACACTGTTCCTGCCTAATGTCACCAGATAAGAATATGTGCGCGGTCTGTGCCGTAACATTACCGGTCGAGAGAAGCCCATATTCACGATATATATGGCTACCGATCCGGTACAATGGTCGGAAGTTCCGCTGTCCCTCTCCTGGTTTGCGATACACTTCACGAATACCATCGGAAACAACACAACGTTTCCCAACCCCAGTTATACAATATTTTAGGCTTTCGGGTTTTCTGGTCACACGGTTGATACTGAATTGACACAAGGAGCTTAGTCACTTCAATTTGCACTATACTACTATACTAAGACCGAGATAAATTGCAATGAATCCCTTTCTAGATTTTACAACCTATAATAGGGAACCGTCGGCTGTTTGATAAGTGCAATGTTAGCAGTCAGCATTGGCCTCATTCCATCTAACCTTAGAAGAAAAAAACAAACAATTTTTTGTCTTCCATCCACCATTTATTGGCTACGACCCGTAATCTCCACATGGGGACTTACGCTACACCGATGTAAGCGAGTCAGATAGAGGGTGATTTTACCATGGCTTAGTGGACAAGAAGGTGTGGTGGTGGTTGTGGTGGTGTTGGAGTTGGAAGGCTGCTCTGTTAACCGTCGTCATGGTGCTACACCACAAATAATTAAAAAAAAGATTCAAACTACACGCCCGTATCGTCCATTCATTCAACATGTCCCGTATGAGCACAATATTTTCATAGAATCAGCTTTCAGTGTACGAAAACTCAAACGAATCAATTGTTTTATCAATTTATTCACGTTGTAAAACTTGTCACGGTCAGTTGTGCAGCTTTTGATCAATGCATCTCGCTTACGCAACCAGCTTTGCAACACTATTATAGCATTTCAAAAGTGTAATTTTTAAACACTCGTTGATAAATGAAATTTCGGATGCGCTTAAACTCACCCGCTTGCAGTGGTATGGCGATAGGTTGTGCGTCGAGGTTACAGAAGTATGGCTCGCGGCTCAAGACTAGTGATTCGAGGCTAAAAGACTGTCCAAAGGGGCTAAATGATTGTGGGTGTACGAGCATTGGGTATCTGAGAGAATATGCTCCCCCCATCCCTCCAATTTTAGGAAGAAAATGAGTAGACTCTATTGACCGCAACCCCCTGAGGGAAAATCGTCATTTGATGCCGTCTGCTCAACGATAGCATGGATGTGGACATATGCAAAGGTCCAAAAAAAAGCATTCGGAATTGTTTTAAGAAATGCAAAGTAATAATGGAACGATTAATTGACACGATATCGCTCATTGCTGCACCAGAAAAAACGTGTTCATGTCGGTGTCGACTTGTGAGGGCGAGAAGTGGAACTTGTTGGCTGTCGAATGAATGGAATTAGGTGAACCAAATGAACAATCAAATTCTTGACAATCGGTATTGGAATTTCGGAAGTCTCGAAAAAGTGTCGTTTCAAATCGAAACCATTTTCCTACATTTGTGTACCATAAGATTCTTACGTATTCATTGGATGAACTTTTAAACAATTACGCGTGAATCATATGACCAATAGCAAAGAACAGCAAAAGAGACTTCTCTCTTTATCGATCCAAGGATGGATTGATGGATCGAAATTGTTGTCCAGTGAACATTTGCTGAAGCTTGATGAGAAAAAATGGATCACAATTTCGTGACCCCATTTACTCGTAGGCTATTTTCTTTATAAAGTGATCATTTCGAACTAAGCAGATCAATGCACCTTCTCTGGTATTAGTGACGCCCAACGGATGATGAAAATTCGATTGTTCCGTAGTCGGCATTTGCGTGTACAAGACTTTGATGTAATAAGCGTGACAACATGTTCAGTTCAACGTACTGTTTTCTGCTTGGCGGACATGGATTGGCGGTGATGTGGCGTTAAAATATACAAATATGAAACCAACTCGTGCAGCACCCCGGATTTGTTTGTCAGATTGATTCCTCCTAACGCATATTGTTTCCAGCCTCATTCATCGCAGTGAATGTGATGTTGGACCCACATCAGGCATAATAAAAACCACGGTGGTTGTTGCTTCCATTACTCAAATACCTTTCAAATGGTACAATATCCTGAGTCCGACGATGGTTAGCGATGCATCAAACTGTACAAACTTTATCGCGAGACTCAAGGTCGCGCAAATTCAAACGGTCTTACAAGAGAACTAAGAACATTGCAGTGGGAGATAAAGTGAGCAATAAATACTCTTCACCCATAGCTATTCATATACCCGAATGATATTATCAAGTGAAATGTATTTACCAAAGAAAAATCAGGTTGCTCGAGTTTGATCAATATCGGTAAGGTATACTTCATGCTGTGGTAGTGGAGGCCCGGTGATAAAGGTCACCAAATACTTTACCCCGGAGGACGTGTTTTCGATTCCCACCATCACCATCACCATCGCCAAATTTCGCCCTTTCTGAAAACTGTATCGTTGAAAGATGTAAAAAAACGATATTGATCTGATCGTTGTGCCTTTCTATAACTTCCCGTCTATGTGAAATCCAAGGTGTGATACGCGACGACACCTGCAAATTGGTTAGCAACATCCAAGCGTACAAATGTAATTCGACTCTCGATCATCGTGTCCTGCTAATCGAGTCGTTGGACGAGGATCGACTACTGCGAAGGATTGCCCCGGTTGCATTTGCGACTGAAGGCCTCCAGGTTAGCGCATCCGTATTACGAAAACTCAGGTATACTTAGTTATTCACCCTTTTTGGTCACAATTACAATGAAAGTAGAATGGATTTTTATTTAACTTCTAATTTTGAAAACAAAATCAATTTTTGTGGATTTAAGACTGCGGTTAAGTACCTGTGAGTACGGGTAAATGTTCAGTGTAATTCCAGAATAATAATAATAATAATAATAATAATAATAATAATAATAATAATAATAATTCCAGAATACGTTGAATACACCTCTTTATTTGCATAGTAAAGGTTAAAAAATGTTCACATAAATACACAAGTTAACAAGTATCAGTCTTAGTAGCTGGTATATTCAGGTCGTTACTATAGTGTCAGGATAATGAAATAAAATTCTTTTTTCGTGGAAGGCATTCCAATGAACCGGAGCGCAAGCAAATCAGACAGTAAACCGCCTTGATTCTAAATACATTTGTTCTGTGTGATAATTGTAGTATGCACTGATCACGAAATACGAATCACGGCTTAGAACTCACGGATGCCATGTAAGCACTGGATCCCACCGGTACTCGTACGACAGTATCCCACATAACCGGGACGCAAGGAAAAAGCCACAAGAATAGCAGTTCGTTTATTCAAACAAACAGGGAAATTAAATAATATGTACAAAACAGGTTCACTGGTCATCCAAGCATTTGCCAATCGCCTACTTGTATTTCTGGTGTTGTGCAGCTTCCGTCTGGGCCGCACGTGTTTTGATTGGTTTATATAATCGGTCTATGGTTTGTAGTTCTGAAGCTGTGACACGTACGCGCCTTGCTGAAGTCACCCGTGAAGCTTGATTGATCATAGTTGTCCTAAAGTTGTAACTTTTCGTTCCATCTCGTAGGCTTGGATCACCACATCCTGTCATCCTTGAACCCAGTCATAATCAAAGATAACTTATGTTGTCAACTGTTAACCACAGTGTTGGTCTTGCTCGGTGCTATGAATGCAGTTGGCTGAGCACGCTGCGACGAAATACCAGATTCAGATTTACATGGGGCATGTGTCAGAAGCGACCACATACTAATGTGGAACTGTTTTCTTCTGTGTGCAATACCTGACGTGGAAGATGGGAATCGTTAGGAGACTGGGCAAGTAAAATTCTTCAACTGTTGAGGAAATGTATAAGCTAGGCAGCATCAGAACCTTCTGCACCTCCACATAGCTTCATTCTCAAAAGGCCTCAGTCGAACTGTCAGTTTCACTACTGCACCAACAATCAGTGGTTGAAAATTATAAATCATGGCCACAGGTTGCTCAGTGGCTTGAACCTAATTCTGGTGCACCAGGATACGCGTAATCATTCTCCTTCACGCCCGCGAACCGCGTGCATGTAAAGGTGTTGAACATCGAATAAAACAGCCTGATCTTATGTGCGGACAAGAAAACTTATTCGTTTGTTGTTCCATTTGCTCATTTTCAACCCTTCTCCCCCTCGAAAAATTAACAATACAAAGAAAAACTATGTGGACTTGATAAACGGACCGGCCGATCACGGAAAGTGTTC